TGCCTTTCCAGCGTGAATTCGTCCTTTAAAATCAACTTCCTTTAGGACACCGGTCATATGATGGTTTACTTTGAACATCCTGATGCATTATTTATGCGAAGATTACACGACGACGTATCTACCTCAAAGGTAGGCTGTAAACAGAAGAACTTAACGCATTTGAAATACTTTGTAAATATTCAAGATTAAGGCTTCAAAGTTCCACAAACTCTGGACAGCGTGGTCAACGTGTAATGGGAACAAGGAGAAGTCTAGATATCAGAGATGCAGCCAATACCACGATATACGGAAATGTCCAAAGCAAAGCGCTCCTTGCTCAAGTGAGATTTCGATAACGTAAAAGTAATTCAAGATGCACTTCGTATTGAACTCAGGTGCGCCGTACGCTCAGCAGGCTGCGAAACCCAGTGAATCAAACTCAGGATAAGGCAATCAAGTGTATATACCGAGCAATAAGGTCTTTTCACATGCTTTTAAAATTAATAAATATTACAATTATGGTGTCGCATTACATAACGATGAGTTTTAAGAGCATTCCTTAAACAATATGTATTACCGGCTTTTTTCTCCCGTATATTAAAGAAAGAAAACAAACAATGAAATACAAACAACTTCCTAATGTCTGAATGTGAAATGCTCCATTATCTCTTTGTCCATATCCGTGAGCAAGTTGGTCACGTCTATTCGCAAAGCGTTATGCTTCTGAATTTGCGCTTTCATCTTCTTGTCACACTCTTCCTCGGCTCTGAATAGGCATTTGATTATATTTTAATGACCTTCAAGTTATAAAACCAAGATCTATTACTACTTATTAACACAAGGGCAACGTATTTCCAAAAAAAGCGACGTAATGCTGGATACACATGTACAGTCGGTATGCCAGAAGAGCTAGAATTGAGGGCGGAAATTGTTTAATCTTTGTCTTACTCTTAAAGTTACCGGCTCTCTTCGAATCAAACAAAAATTCACTGTTCCACCAGGAAGGAACACCGAAACAGCCTCAGAAATTTCGGTTTTTTCTAAATAGATGTATATGGATCCGGATCTTGCTCTCTTAGAAATTTTATTCTTATAACAGCTAACAGCAGCCAAGAAATCAGCTTTACAAATCCGAGAAGCAAGCTTTCCTTAAAAAGCACGATCGAGCATCTCTTCTGCAGAAAGAATACCTAGGGCGGTGTCAAACTGCTTTTTGCTAGCAACTCGATGGAAACGAGTAATGCACCAGCAAATCAGCGACTAACTCCACTGCGGGTCGCTCGTACCACTCACTCGAACTGCAGTGAATTGTAGGGCCAGCGTCAGATTCTGCGGATCTACGGATTCGCAAAGTCTGACACCAGCCCTACTGTGAGAGATGGGCACAGACAAAGGCCACCACAAATACTAGTATACAATGCTTTCATAATTAATACAGTACCGCAAAAAATATGGAACTTGCGCAGACAAGATAAACCTAGGAGTGTCGCTCGGCTTAGGTGACACTGTCCCCAACGTCTTAACTAATATGAACAAAACAAACATTCCCTTTCGTTTACCTGGGTGTGGCAAAACATTTTTCATTACTCGCGGCGTGTTGCGTGCTGCGCCTGCTCACAGAGACCACTCTTCTTCGCGATTACTTTATGTTGGTGTGGAGGACAATATCTCCTGCATGCAACCGTGCAATGATGCGATCTTGGAACTGCGCGATCGCAGGATCGGAGGTCGACACGCAGGGTCAAGCGAGGCGTCGAGGAAAATTCGGAAATACGACCCCCCCCCCCCTCCCTCTGCCGAAGGC